GTCAAGAAACTTCTTCTATTAGAAGTCAAAACACAAGGAAGGCTTATTTAATAGGTTTTCATGCGTCAGTATTGTTGTTTATTTTTTCAGTATAAAATTGTCATACCAGAATTATTTCAGTAGAGATCCATGAAGGCACAAAATTATTCCAACAAATGTCACTTTCAAATAGGAATCCCTACTTTTACATAATGTTTACGACAAAACCCTGGACTAACGACCGAATTTAGTTAGTATAGATGTTGCAGAAAAATAAGGATTGGCTTTTAGCTCTCAAAACACTTGATCAAATGTAATAACTGTGTGCCATTATCAAACTCTGCTGAACTGGGCTTGACCAAAGAAAGTGACCACAAGCATACACTGAAACAATGAAACGCAATACTCAAACTTGGAAATGTCTTCAATAGGCCTTTTTTATGTTTTGACTTCGAGTGTAAAACGTTTTTTGGCCTACATATATTCTTTAGAAACATGTTTGCTATCAGTTTGTTTTTTAAAACTTAATGTTGTAAATGATGTTTCTGTATTTCCTAGTATGAAAGCTCAAGGGCTTTCTCTGTTGTTTCTTTAATCATATTACTCAGAGCTTAGTAGGTTGCTTCTTTAATGTGTTTCCTGTCCTCGGGTATGTTAGCGGCTGTGTATAGTAGAAGGCTGTAAGGTCCGGGAACGAACTCCCGTTGTAGAGTGGTGTTCTCCTTTTTAAAGCTGTTCTCGCACAGTATGTCAGCGTTCGAACAGTGTCGACCCATCCTGGGAGACAACCCTTAGGCTGTATAAGCACTAAACGTTCAATTTTACTTTTGCACCGCGTAAACGTACGACGAAAAGAAGGACCAATAAATCTCGCAATAGCAAAATCGACAGAACGAAGCCCCGGCTAGACGACGTTCTTCGCGCACAACCGCTCCAAATTAACTACACTCCTTCCGTTAGTGTCGCTTCGGGTTCTGTTAACAGCGCCCTTTATATCCAGGCTCTCATGACAGGCGATTGTATCCCAGTCGCACTTCTGTCACACAAATTCGTTTTAACACCCCTCTTGTCGAAATTGACACAGCGCAAATGGCTTATATTCGGGCGGACGACTGCGGCTTAAAGGGGCCTTTGAATCATATTTAAGTGTCTACCTTTTTTGCGGTTTCCACGTCTCTTGGGGCTCGGGCAAGCCAGCGGGCACGGAGAGAGTAATTAAATATCGGTGCGTCATATTTTAACCTTACGACGCGGAAACCTCCTCTACCTATCGGGGCGACCCGCGGTGCCGAAAGCCCGCGATATGTGGCGACATCATGACGCTTTTGGTCCTGGCCTTACTACTGCTCAGAGCCGCCAAAAGCTTTTTTTTAGTCGAAATACAAAATATAAGTGGCGCGAACCGTTTCAATTATTTATGAAAGTAGTTTTTGTTCAGTATTTTAGATCAGAAAAGAAACAATAGCAGTTTGTAAAGCACGGAAACAAGAAATGACCCGTCGACATACCCGCCACCAAGCGGTGGAAAAGGCGGCGCAAACTAGAAAGGGGTATAAAGATCCGGCACCGACGAGCGGCGAGCGTAGAAAGGTCCCGGATGTACGCAGCAGCGCTGCGGTCGTACGGGCTCGAGGATCCGACCGGTTCCGAAGGCCTTGGGCGAGCAGGCTTGGCTTGCAGTTTGGCTGTTTGGCGGTATGGCAGCGCGAAGTGGCTCCCGTTGTGAACTGATCTTTACTCCGTGTTTGCTGTCGTTTGTGGCCAATAAAGTGTCATGCCAAATTAGTGTTTAATCGCGCAGCAAATGCAATGCTTACCGCCCTGGCCGCCCGCTTCATCCAGCCTACCCAGCACATGCTTTAGCGGCGCCCTCTCGAGCCGTTGACACGGAGTGCGGCAGACGTGAGCGCTTGAAGAGCTCACTAGCCCTCCTCTGGTTAACGGCCACTCAAGCCAGGACCAAGGAAGTCTTGAAGGAAGTTATTTTTTGCTTGTTTTTGTAATTTTAGTTTGTCTATAACTTTTAAAATAATGCAAAATTCGAGAAAAGAAACGTTTCATTAAGTTACTACGTTCGGTGCGCTCAGGCTCGGTACAAAATAAAAACCAGTCAAAAAGTCGTTGCAGGGCCCCTTTAAAGAGTCGACAGCGCTTGAATAGCGGCAGCCGCGCGATTCCTATTGGATGAGCGAAACGGCCCCTAAAATTCCATAGGCTTCGACGCGTCAAACCAGATGCTTCTTCACGGAAGCCGGCGAGGCCGCTCAAGGTAAAGGTGGACGCGCCTCAGAAATAAATAAAACCCAGAGAAAAGCGCAGCAATGCTTATGCTTCGTCATGGAAACCGAAGTGAAGCCGGCGGGTATCGCCGTGTCTGCGCAGTGGGGGAGCGTGATGTCAAACCGTTGTGAAAAAGTAAGACAATGTGCGCTGCTTGTAGGAATGCGCTGCGTGTAAGCGAAATCCACCATCGTTCTCAGGTCTCGGAATACACGGCGGGGCGGTCTGTGCGTCGCACCGCCGCACTCCTCGCCGACGCTGCGGCCTCTTCTGCTCCTCTCGGCGCCAAAACTGCTTTCGCATTCACAACTCATAAAAAGTGCATAGATGCTCTCGGATTTCTTTTTAAATTTTAACTTAGGGACTTGTTCTTCTGCATTCATTGCATGATGAGGGCCCGCGTGCAATTCCTTGAAATATTTAGCACCCAGGAAGTTCCTTGTATCCATGTAATCAGAACATCTACGAATTGGTTGCACAGCCGTCGAAGGTGCGAATGCTATCGAGAGAGTGCCGACCGGCCCGAGCACGCGCAATATCTCATCGCTAACCATTCAAGCACTGACGCGATAAAATGCTCGCACAGAATGTCTCGCGGGCTCTCCCCGAGGAAATGAATATTGAATATGCTCAAACATATATAGGGTGGTTCAAGTCACCAGGCTCGATATAAAATGGACCGTAAAAATCGACGCCTGCACGTAGCATACTAAACTTTTTGTCAAAGGTGTATTTCAAAGGTCGGTTTTCTGTTGTAAAATTACAAAGCAGCTAGTTCTGTTTCTGTAAAAAATTGGGCCAAAAAACTTGCCAGTCTCTACGGCGGGCGGCGACCCAGACGACCAAGTCCAGTAACGGGGTGTGTTTGGCGTTCGTATTGATAGATGGCGTCGGGAGCAGCGTCTGAAGGTGCAGCCGACGAGCGAGCCATAGCAGATGACACGCAGACGAAATCCGTTGGCAGCAAAAGCGCCGCCGTTATGCAGACGCGTTTTTTTACTTTAAGTTTTGATTTTATTGTTCGCATCTATTTTTTAACCGAAGGTACGTTTCAAAAAGATTATATTCATTTTAATAAACCCCGGTGGTCGCGAGCCGTCGCGATATGGAGGTAGCGCCATCTATCAATACGAACGCCAAACACACCCCGCTACTTGACCCCTGCCGTCTGCGTTGCTGCCCGCCGTAGACCCTGGCAAGTTTCTTGGTCTTATTTTTTATAGAAAAAGAGCTACGTTTTGTAATTTTACAAGAAAAAACCGACCTGTGAATTACATTTTTGACGAAAAGTTAAGATAGCTACGTGCAGGCGTCGATTTTTACGGTCCATTTTAGATCGAGCCTGGTGACTTGGACCACCCTAAACTTTTACGCCAAGCACGTAAATGACCAATCATTGCTGCCCCGCAGAAGTACGTAGCTAATGAGGAGGTCGAGAGATAAAGTTTTGTATTTCGGGTGCCCAGGATTTTGCGTAGATCTCAATTGAGCGGGTTGCGGAGAGCGCTGTGGGACGGAGAAAACGATCTACGAAAGCTCCCTATTGTTCGCAGAGTACCTGCATTCTTCGTTTGAACACCACATCGCTGCGTTGAAATCGACTGCTGCAACATTACTGTCATGTGTAATCGAATCGAATCGTATCACGTTTATGCTGACGTCGGCTCTCCTCGCCTGCAGCCCTGCTAATGTGTTTTTATTAAACTTGTTTTTCTTGTTCCGAGCGGTTGTATCTTGCATCGCGCTTGCCCGCTCCCTCCTCGTGGCTCGTAGGTCCCCAAAGCGGTCTCCAAACCAAAAACGGAAAGCTGGAAGCATGCACTTTTCGCGGAGAGGTTTCCCGACGCGTTCCGCTTCGTTCCGTTTTTGGACGGGGGGCACCTGAGTACGGCCTTGGAATGCGTGCGTGACGAAACCACTGGGCGCAACCAATCAGAGGGACAAGGGAAGTGGAGAGGAAGTAAAGGCTTTGGCTGTAACCGTAGCGGATGCAATCTTGACGATTGCTGCAGGCGAAGGAGGTATGCCGTCAAAGCAGGCGTGAAGCAGCAAACAGAAACTTCGAACCGGATCAAGGAAGAAAGAGGCCAATAGAGGTGGCCAAGGTGGACAGAAACATTCTCAATGGTCGGTCTCATAAGTGACATATTTCTGACGACTGACTCGATGTCACGCGGACCCTCTCCTCCCCGATGTCTCCGTCTTGCTCCGATAGAAATCATGTCCGAACCGAAAAACGGAACGAAGCGCTCCAGCTTCCCGCTAAAAGTGCACGCTTCCCGCTTTCCGTTTTTGGTTTGGAGACCCCTTAAGCCGAGGCATAGTGTTTTGGGCCTAGAGCGTACAGCATGCAGCAAGAGGCAAAACTGAGGTGGGAAAACCTGCCGGAATTTTCATTTCGCAAACTAGCTTACCCTTGACACAAAGAAACCTTAGCATACACGAGCAGTCCTATGACGTTCGGTTGTAGTTTATGGGCTATTCACAGCTCCTGCCTAGTATGTGTACGTTTTACACACGTTTTGTGTTTTATTTTTTCATGGCATTAGCGTAGCCGACTTCTTACTGTCCGCCACCGACAACCAGAAAGCGAGATTGGGTCTCAGCTTCTCAGTTAAAGCGGACGCTATAGAATGCGGTACACTGGGAACATTTAGTGGCTTTGGACGCAATAATGTGGGTGCTTAAAATTTGTTCCTTACTCCGGCTTTTGTGTAAGCCTGTGTTGTATGTAATTGCAGGTCCCGAGTGCTGAACCGCAAAGTTCTAAGCTGAATCGACGAAAAAGCGGCGACGACGGGAGGCTCAAAAACAAGTGTCATGCGCCGTTCACGGGTGAGTGAATTTGTGGAAGTGGTTTGTTAACTAAAACTATATATCTGCCCTTCTACCTTACTTTTGTTTAGTCGTGATTTGCGGTCTAGTCGGAAAGACCTTGGGGTTCCGTTTTATTTTCCAACCAGGGCCAGGAATCTCACAACGAATGCCGTACCTCTAATATTATGTCGGCATGCACACACATAAAGTAAAGAAAAAAATCCCGTTTGTTTCGTCACTCGATGTTGCTGTTATACTATAGAGATAGAGGGCGGCTTAGGTCAATATGGGACCATTCCAACGATTGCTGATCTACAGGCCTGAACGTAGATATGCACCAATCAAGCAAAGCTGGAGCCACACACAGACATATATGGCATCACAATAAAAGTTTTGTTAGGACGGGTTTATAATGCTTGTGTACCAGTATATGCTCAAACTTTTTACATCCTTAAGGGTATAAAAGGGTGTTCTGGAGACTAAACTTCATAGCTACACCCTTTCAGTGCCCTTATTTCGGATAATACACCCTTCATAATCCGGAGGTGGGGCGCCGTTGCATTGAACACCCTTCATTTTTGAAGGGTGTATAGAGGGCGTGGCAAAGGGTGCCGCGGAGCAAAGTTAGCGCAAGTTGTTCTAGAGACGATGACGAATATTTATTGCCTACACGAAAGCTTTTGCCTATAAAATAAATTCCTTAAACCTCTAGAAATTGCTTTTGCGGGAAATGTTAATGAGGAAAAGCTAAAGCGTACTGGTACCTCATCAATCGCAGAGTATGTCAGCGGCGAGTAAGTAGTACCTCTGTCGTCCAGCATATAGGGCGATGGAGAAAGGGTTGTGATGCCGATCTCTCGTATACATGCTTCGTGGCACTTGTATCTCTTGTTTTTGTCTATGTGCATCTGGTACATCTTCCTTGTTCACTGTATGTTGACACATCAAGTGTAGCGCCAGGGAGTCGCACACTATCTCTAGAGAGTTTGGATGTTATAATAATGTAAAATATGTTGATATGTAACGCGACAAAAACACGGAACTTTTGTCTGGCGACAAGACAAAATCAACTTTTCGGCGACAAGAGCGATCTTCCACATGAAGTGCAGCTCACAAACATATTATTCGTGACCAGTCTGGAGCGAGGAAGCGTTTAAACGGTTTGAAGAAGGTATATTTGATGTGTCTGTGAGAAGTCATGGGTGCTCGTTGCTTGCTCTAGTGTAAATTTAAGTAGAACGAAATCCTGAGGGGTATTCAAGTGACGTGAATACGCCGTCTTGTTGAACGCTTTTATGCGGTGAAACTTAGAACGACAAAGTGGATAGTGTAAAATTAAGGTCTTTGCTAGGTTTATGTAGTAAAGATATTATCGCAGGTCAACAACATGGTTACCGATTTGGCGTGTGTACTCTAAGTATATTTATTACAATTCGAGGAAAAACGAATTCTGGTTTATTGAGTGGCGGGAGAAAGTCTCATACAGAAAATTATTACCCCCCCTCTCTGTGCCCAAACCGCAATATTTTAAGCGGCCCCAGACAGGAAATCTTATGTTGTTGCTACCACTGTGCGTATCAATGAGGGACAACATAAACTCGCAATCACACCGTTTCGCACCCGAGCATACTGAAAGTTCAAATACCAGCGAAGCAGCCCTCATTTTAAACCCCTGTTTACAAAGGTTCCTCGCGAAAGCGACGATTTCGGGTCTCTGTACTCAACTCGAGGCTCCAGCCCCGTTTTTCAAGGAATAGAACGTAGAACGTAATAGATTGTACACGCTGGAAAGGAAACCTTCGCTCATATCTTCTAAATGCTGGTGCGCCTTTGATGAGTTACCTTAATCGCCGCCAACCGAAGCGCAGCAAGTGGCGACGCTCCAACACTCGCTCGGCAACTGTGTGCCTTCCCGAGCGGCGATAAACAAATGTGAATCGGCAAGGACTTTGTTGAAGTGTGCGTGCTCGATCGAAGGCCACAAGGATAAACACTGGAGATACGACCTAAAAAAAAAGGGGGGGGGGGGGGGGGGCAGTATGGAGCTCCTGTTTCCTTTTTATTGGATCTGCGAAGGGATTCCGCAACGCCTGGACACCGAATCTATTGTGGCGGCGGCTCGGAGAGTCAAAGCTGTTGGTGATCCGCTTTGGTTGTCGTCTTTCCATACCATGTATACTGTCAAAGGAAGTCACGGAAATGTAGGCACCCTTTAAATTGTTGCCTCCGATATTAAAGGGGACATGACATTTTTTTTTCGTTCCCGTATTTTGCCAAAGATCGCATAAAACCATCACCTGATATTCACACACACAAAATAAGAAAGAATAAATACGAGTTTGTTTTTAGCTCCTTCAGTGAAGTCTTACAGAAAACACCCTAGAATAGTGACCAGCGTCTGCTTCCTCAGCTCGTGTCCTCGAAGAGGGGGGGATTCCATTGAGGACTAGACAGAGGGATTAATGCCTCTGCGAAGGATTCTTTTCATATGCAGAGGCAATACTCTAAACATATTATAGAGGGGAAGTTGAGAAAAAACTGTGGGAAGAAGAAGGGGTTTTGGTAGGTATTTTTGTCGCAGTCGCGATGAAAAAAAATCCTAAAGGTTTTAAGTTTCGGGAAGGCTCGAATAAAAACAAGTCGAGGAAAAGTTTACTTTTTAATAAAGATTTTGCAGCAAGTACCCAGCTGTCAGGTCTTTGTTTTGTCGGGTTGCGCCACCAAAGTTCATTACAGCTACGTACTACCTAGGTTGTCATTTGTTGGACCACATGCTGTGGTCTCCGGACATTCTGAGAGCACGAGGAGTTTCGTCACCGAATTAATTGGCCACGGACGCTAACTCTAACTTTCGCCGGCAAATTCATTCTTACCGAGCGAAAGCGGAGCTGTGCCGCATGCTCACGTCTAACCCGTGAGCCACATTCAATAGTGACTCGCTCCAAACTCTCTGGGTGCAGGGCGGCGTATTCGAAAACGCTTGTGAAGTAAGTCAGCGGGCCGATTTCGGCACACTGACTGGTGCGTTTTTATGTACGTCACATCGTCTAGTTTCCTAAAGGGAACAAGAGGCTTAGGCAAGGACGCCTCAGTGTATCACTCTCTACTCTTTAACCGGTTCCCAGATTTGCTTCCCCGATATGCAGAAGCAAATTTGGGAGTCAGCAAAAGACTAGCTAGTGAATCACTCAAGCGTGCATGTTTACCTAAACCTCCCCACGTAAACCAGGCGATGTGACGTCCATGGAAACGCGCCAATCAGAGTGTCGAAATCGGCCCATTGACCTGTTTCATAAGCTAAATCCCCGCTAAATTTCAACCTAAATTTAGCGGGAAAAATTCCCCCCTAACTTTAGCGGGGAAATGCCGCATAACGCAACGCGCAGTTGCGCCGACTGCTACGCCGTTCAACCCAGATATTTTACTGTCCCCTTTTCCTTGTAAAATCTTATTCTTCCCGTGTATGACGAACTGATTGTAACCATACTCCACGACAACTTTTCTTGGCATTTCCGGGGAGAGGAGAGCCGCGCACAGCTTTATTCAGCGCTCAAAATCGGAGAGGGAACGCGTGCCTGTACCTTCCACTGCATTGTCAAGAAAAGTTGTCGTGGAGTATAGAGGTGCTGCAAACGTTTGTCGAACCTAACGTTCGAAAATCGAACCAAGGGGCCCGAAAGCTTCGAAAACCTCTCGAATTTTTAAACTTATTGCATAAATTTTTTGACGAGTTCCGAACTTTCGATTTTTGGCGCTAAGAAATTTGATTGTTTTCGAATTTTTGAATTTGTTTGCGCTATGGGATTCGACTATTTTCAAACTTTAGAGCTTATTCGCTAAAAAGAAATGACGATTTTCGATCTTTCGGGTCTGCTAATTTAAAAACTTCCCCGAAATTAAACCTTCTGAACAAAAGATTGACGAAGTTCGACCTAAGTACACCCCCCTAGGTTCAAGGACAGAAGTATGAATGGCACAATATGTCAATAGGTGGAGCGGAAATTGCACTGGAGTTTTCCTTAGCGGATCGTGCCACAAGCGACTCGATTTCAAAGCGCTGAATAATTTCTTTGGGGTGGCCTCCTACGCCGTAACTTTTTCTTACGAATTCCGCAGAAAGCCTCTCCGGCGCACAACTTGGTAGGTTGTCCCGAGGTAGCCTGAGGGCTAACAGATCCCTCAACAGCAGGCTTGAAATTCAAACGAAGCACTTCGCCGGGGGCGTCCTTCACGGTTGGTTTTGAACGGAAGTCCCCCGATTTCCGCGAGCAAGTGGTTGGTCAGTGAAAGGCGCGCGCGGAATTTAGTTTTCTTGTGTTCTACTCAACCTTGACTTTTGTCAAGTGATGTGCCTGTGTCCAGAGCTTTCATCAGCCCACGGGTCATCCCACCGAAAATAAACGCTCAGGGCAACTAAAAATTTTCGGGACGTCTGGTTGTATTTATGTGCTTGGGTTGTCCTGTATATTAAGTTGTCTTATGCCATCATCGCATTTAGGCGACGTTGGATAGGATTGCTACTAGTTTGGAAAGACGTAAGAAGTACGTTCACCTGACCGCCTCAGGGCTTTTCGATGAACTGTTCAATCAGTTCAACGATTGTTTCATAAGTTGCAACAAATAACGAGTAATACAGGTAGTACCGTCCGTATACCACGGAGAAGATAGAAGTATATTTACTGCATAAGAGAAACGGACAACGCGTTTTCAGTAAAATTTGTAGCACATTTCGCGATTTTCTTCTAGGTGAGTTCATACAAATTTAATTCGAAACTGCGGAAATCAGACTTCGATTTTAAAATCGAAACTTGCGACCTTTCCCAACCTGTACTTCGAAATAATTCGAAATCTTAGAAATTTTCAAACTTACCCTGAAAAAGAATCGAAATGTTAAACGTTTTCAAACATTTGTAAAAACAAAAAGAAAATGGAAATCTTTATTCTCCGGCTTTCAGAAACCTTCACATCTTCGAATTTTTCAAATTCCAACCTTAACGGGGGTCTATTGCTGCGAACTT